TGGATGAAGATTCGGGTGTCTCCAGCCGAATCAGTTGTTCTGCAACCCTAAAACATGGAACTCAAATCCTGGTTCCATACATGGATGAAGATTTTCATTTGGTGTCTCCAGCTGAATGAGCTGTTCTGCAAGCCTGCTTGCTTGGCAGATGGCTTATATATTTGTGGTCCCAGCCGTTCGGCAACCCTGCTTGCCCCGCAGATGACTTATATATTTGTGGCCCAGCCGAATGAGCCGTTCTGCTCACCTGCTGAGTGCTCGGTTTGCTTGGGGTGTAGTGAAGGAAAAACATGTGTGTGTGTGTGTGTCTGATATTCATATGTGTCCAAATCATAAACACACTTACATATATAGCATATATCCATATAGATACAAATCTATACTTTCTATATACTGTACATACATGTTTCCCTGCTTGAGGCATACAAATTTGGTGAGCTCTTCGCGGGTGTCGCCAATGTCACGGCTGCTGTGAAACTCCGTGGCATTCCAGCCTTCAAGATGGACAAGATCTATTTTGAGGGCTTTGATTTCTTAACGCCTGCAGGGTTCTCGTCCCTGGGATTGCTTCAGTGGAACTTACTTGGCAACAGGACCACAAGATGACATATACTATGTTATATATTTATACAAACATAAATACAGATACAGTTATATATATATATATATACATATAGATGTATGTGCATATATACAGTATACTGTCTGTATATAGATACATACATGGATTTCCATTTCATGTGTTGCCAAGGCTGGCGCTGTTGTCTGTATTGCGGATGGCTCCACGAAGTGTGCTACTAATGGCGCCAGATTGCAGCAGCTTTTCTTGGATGAGCAGCAGTGGATCTCAGCGGTACTGGTTCGCTCCTCTTGGGGACACTAGCAAGGAGTGGGTGGTCCGGGGAAATATGATGGCATCCAGGTGCCTCATGTGGGAAGCATGCATCAAGTTGGGACTGTCCTTTTATGAACAGTTGGTTTCCTGGATCTATCCAAATTTACACAATGTGTCTGCCAGGGTCATCTTGCTGGCCCACCTCGCAGCGGTGCTTGGCCATGTGTTCATCATTGAGCAACCTGGTAGTGCTCGCTTTGGGGACCTTCCATGTTGGAGACATTTCGTCGAAAACATTTGCTATGTTTCTTGCTTCAATTCAGAGTTGGTGGAGGCTGTAGGACAAGCAGTGGTGACAGAAGTGAATATCACATGCGATGAAGCAATATGATCTTCCTTCATGCATGACATATATATATATATATGTACATTTTATTGAACAAACAGAAAGTCTACACACACAGGAGATACCCAACTCAACTCAGTGTCTGTTGATTCAGATGCTATAAAAGTAGGCATAGCCACATGCATGTAAATTGTGACCTGGCTTAGCAACAATATTTGTCTCTGTACATGTCTACGAGATTAAAAGTATAAGTATGTGAATGAACACATTTTGTGTTGATAGAACCACACACCTGCATGAACAAAACTATTTGTATATACATATATAACATAGACATGTAGATGTCTGCATAATACTTATATATATATAAATGTTGGTGCGTGCTGGTATATACGAAAACATATAGGATATATGCTCTGTCGCTATAAATATATATGCATGATGATATTTCTATATACACCTGTCTTGGCTGTCTGTATAAATGTTTTCCGAGGTCTTCAAGCAAAAGCTCTACATGGCTATGGATGGTGGCACAAGTGCGAAAAGCACTTGCCTCTGGTCGAACAGCTGGCACATTGCTTACTTAAACCTGGGACCCATCCCCAAAGTGCCTTGTCCCATGCTTGAGGAAACAGTGTACCACATGCTTTCGAAAATCCATTCAGAACATCTGTTTGTGCATTCAGCTTGCTGGCTGAGTCCAAAAGAGCTGCCTTGGTTCCGGTCGCGAAGTACTACACTGATGTTCGAGGAGTTCGGCGGTCAACGGGCAAGCAACGTCTCCTCCGAGCAAGCCAGAGCTGTTCTGAGAATGGTGTTGTCGTGATCAAGTCAGTGTGGATGGTGCATGAAAGAGAGATATGTGGCATGCTTCACATGACTCATCTTAGGACATACCCTGTGGGCTTTATATATATATATATACATATATATAAATGTAATATAGCAATATGTGTTGTATGTGTTTATCAATTAGTGTCCTTTGTTGGGTTAAGCATATATCTGCATTTGGCAATATATATATATATATATATATATATATATATCTATATATATATTTATAGCTTGATTTGTATGTATACATGTATAAATATGTATACACATATCTTTCCTTCCCAGGATGATGCTGGCATCCGGACCACGAACCTCTTGCTCCTTATGCAAGCAGATCAGGACTTGTGGAAGCCAGCGGACATGGACAGTGTAATCAAATATTTGAGTGCTGCCAAATCACTGGTGATGCCTCCCGAAATCAGGTCTGTCCTTGGACTTTAAATTCAATACTTATGCAAAGACCCTTTGTGTCATCTGCATTGGTGGCCCTGCAATTCATAAATGCTGACGCAGCCACCGAGGCTGTTGCATGTATCGTGCAAGCTATTGGAGCAAAAGAGCTTCGGGCCATATCCTTGTCATGATGTCATATCTTACATTCATATATAAACATGTATATGCATGTTTATATCTCATATATTTATATATATACGATAATATGTATGTACATATATATCTTTTTTTCCTATTCAGCAGGACATTACTGCAAAATGGTTTCCCAACAACCCCATGATTCCAGGCTCGCACGCTAGGCTCGTTCCATATGCTCAAAAATGGTTTCCAGAAACCATTTTTTCTATGCTAACCCCTCCAAAACGCTTCAAACCAAAAAAAAATCAAAAAAAATCCAATTGAACGCTTTTGCACGCATTTGCACGCGAAACCACTTTTTTTGCACACGAAACCATTTTTTTTGCACGCAATTGCACGCATTTTTGGCCTTGGTGCCCGGGCCCTGGCAGCAGCTAAAAAAACCATTTCCTCACGCAGCCTCAGTGAAAAAAACATTTTTTCCGACGAACCACAGCCAAAAGCACAACAGGCAACCACAGCCCAACGGAAAAAACCATTTCTGCCAGGAAACCAGTTTTGCCCGCATCTTCTGGAAGCCTTGCCACTCCAAACCTTTAGCCCAGACCCCAAAAACCATTTTTGACCGCAAAGACCAAGCAAAAGAAACCATTTCTATCAGAGAAACCATTTTTTACCGCATCTTCCCCAGTCGTAGAAGATACGCTGGAATTCCGAGTTGCAATTATTATATGTATATTATATTACATTATATATATATGATATTATACGTGTTTATTATATATACATGCATGCATATCTATACACTTCTAAGCAATCGACTGCGTTCAAATCTGGTTTTGGTTCAACTGTTTTTGAACGCAGTTGCTGTCATGCAACGCAAGACAGCGTTCAATTATGGTTTCGGTCGAACCTAATTCCATGCAGCATACTACAGAACTTTATGCGTGCAAAACTGGTTCTCGAGGAACCAGCATTGAACGCATCTTCCGTGTGATGTGATATATATATATATATATATATATATGTATGTATATATATGTATGTATATAATATTCATGCATGTATATATATATATATAAATATTTATTATATAATGCAATATACACTTATATATACATTGATTACCAAAAGCACAAGCCCAGTATCGGAAAACCATTTGCATCAACAAAAACCATTGGTGAACGCATCTTCTCTAGTCGTGGAAGATACGCTGGAACTCCGGGTTGTATGGCTATGAAACCAATCATGTGGTTTCAAAAGCTTATAATATATTATATATATAATATTATGCTTATATATATATATATATACAAGCACAAGACAGCGTTCAATTTTGGTTTTGATTAAACTTTTTTGAACGCAAATGCATTTATCACTCATAAAACAAAACAAAAGATTGCGTTCAAATATGGTTTTGGTCGGACTGTTTTTGAACGCAAGTGCACATATACTATGCATATATGAGCACCTGCAGACACGCAGTGTTCAACTAGATGGTTGTCGTACTATATGCACGGAAGATGCGTTCAAAGGTGGTTCCTCGACAACCATTTTGGAACGCATCAAGTTTTCAACTGTACACACATATATATATATATATATATTGTTATATATACATACACGAATATATACGGTTGCGTTCAGAAACAGTTCAGCCGAAACCATAATTGAACGCATTCTTGTGCTTATCGCTATATCAGAAACAGTTCGACCAAAACCATATTTGAACGCAGTCTTGTGCTTATATATACAGATGATCAGAAACAGTTCGACCAAAACCATATTTGAACGCAGTCTTGTGCTTATATATATATATATGTATACATAAATAAATAAATAAATAAATATATATATATATATATATTATGATCAGAAACAGTTCTACCAAAACCATATTTGAACGCAGTCTTGTGCTTATATATACAGATGATCAGAAACAGTTCGACCAAAACCATATTTGAACGCAGTCTTGTGCTTATATATACAGATGACCAGAAACAGTTCGACCCAAACCATATTTGAACGCAGTTTTGTGCTTATATATACAAATGATCAGAAACAGTTCGACCAAAACCATATTTGAACGCAGTTTTGTGTTTATATATATATATATAGATGGATCTATGTAATTCATGCACTTCTTTTGCATACATTATATATATATATATATATATATATTATATTATATATATATATATGTGTTTTTGTACTTCAGGTTCTATACAACCATGCACGCCGGAATTCCAGCGTATCTTCCACGACTAAATAAGATGTGTTCAAAAAAGGTTTTTCTGATAGAAATGGTTTTCTGATGCTGGGCTTGTGTTACTTGAACTCAACGTATAATATACATATATATATATATATATGTGCCCAATATGGTTATATCGGAACCTTTTTTTTACGCATTGGCTGTGTGTGGTCTTGCATGCGCCAGGTACTGATGATGCCATGGAGGTTTACAAGAAGAAGCGTGCCGAAGCAGGTGCACCCCCTCTCGCCTTGCTTTTGTGCAGCTTTGCTGCTGGGCTGGTGGCATGTCATGCAGATACATGTGTATATATATATAATATAATATATATATATATATATATATATATATAGATACTGCATATCATGTCTATAAACCAGGTATAAACCATATATGTTTGTGTCTGTCTGCATGGGATCTTCGCATGTTATATATAATTTACACAAATAAGCTTCCTGTCTCAAGTCCAATACATCATAAACATATATTCATACATGTGTATCTTCAAATATATATATATATATATATATATGTACATATACATGTATGCACTCTGTCATGTGCTTCTGCTGGGAGTCACTGCTGCTGCACATGTCAGTCGCATGGAGTTGAATCTTGATGATCGCAGATTTTTGCTGAAGCCTCCTGATTGTGGTCTTTGCTAGCTGTCTGTTGATGGCCCTACAGGGCGGTGCTGCTAGAACTTTGAGCTGTTCTACTCTGATGAAGGGTGCAGGGCAGCTCGCACAGCAGCCGCAGCCATGTCATCAGTTCACGCCGGTGAGAGTGTCTCGTCGCATTGCAGATCGGATTGTGTGCCGTATATAGGGTGAAGAAGTGCATGTTTCACTTTTGCTGAACACCCAGGTGAAGCAGGAGCACGGACATCACTGGGTGGATGCTGAGCTGCTGAAGACGTTCAGCCCAAGGACCCGGTCTATGCTTTCACGTCTTCCTGACACACCGCAGTCAAGGGTTCTGCTGCAACAGATGTTGGATGTTCATGGTGCCTACTGTCACTTGTTCGCAGTTGCATTGTGCATTTCTTTCAGAGATGCTGTTGCAGAGAGCAGCACATGTTTCATGTGAACCATTTTGGCCTGTCTGAGCACATTCCACGCACGAGGGCTCGCAGCAGTGGGTGTGCAAGATACGTTTAGCGAACTCCGAAGCCTCTTTTTTGGGTCAAGCTCTTAGGCACCGCTTGTGAGCGGGTAGGCTAGGAGTTTGACCGCCTTCGGGCGAGAGGTCCCATGCCGGGGCCCTGGACAAGATTCCGGAAGGACCCTGGAATCCCCAACCTGGGGATTATGCCGAGGCACGTGTCTTCGACACCAACGGCGCCTCGCAGGGAACTGCGGTGGTCCGGATAGTCGGGAACGACCCCAAGGGTGCCGCGGGCCAATGGCTCAGTGTCGCGGTGGTCGCCGTGTCGGACGATTACCTCCAATGGTGGCTGGATGCCGGCCCGGGGTATGTCAACGATCGGGTTTTCTGGATGCACCTGTGCTCCAAACCCCAATCTCGGTGCCGGGCACGCAAGGACGACCCCGCCTTTGAGTTTCACGTCGATGAACTTCGCACCCTGGCCCTGGGCGACCTGACTTCTGGAACCCCCGACTTCCTCAAACATGGCCAAGCAGCCTCCGATCTCCGATGGGAGAGCATCTCCTCTGGCAGCTCCAGAGAGCCGGACTCCAGTTCCAGCTCACCCTCTGCGGAGGAGGCGCGTGGCTCCAAGGACAGAGCCGTGGCCAAGAAGAAGAAGAAACGAAAGAAGAAGGAGAAGAAGGGAAAACCCGACAGAGGTCCCTTTGCGGTCGGAACAAACATCCAGTTCGGGGACAGGGGTGATTCCGATTCTTGCGAGTCGGATTTTCGAGACGCCCCGACCGTGCAAGACCGACACCTGGCTCTCCTGGAGTATGCCGGTGAGGGAACTGCGGACCCTCTGCAAGGTGCTCGACCGCCTGGTGGAGGGAGAGATCCGTCAGGCAACCGACGTAGCCGCTCAGCGAATAAAGGCCCTGGACGTCTTCCTGGCCAAGGGTCAGTGGTTCAGGGCTCAGCACCTCGAGCTCATTCCCCGCGAGGGCTCCAGCCTGGTGGAGACCGACGAAGCGATGCTCATGGTGGAAAAGGGTGGTATCCCCAGGGAAAGGGGAACGCCCAAGCCGAGGGCGGTCACCAGACCGCGGACCCCGACAAGAAAGGAGAGAAAGCCTCCGGAAAGAAAGGGGGAAAGTCGGAATCAAAGTGACCAGTCGACCCCCTGAAGGGGGAGGACCCTGACCAGGACCCCGACTGGGGTGACGAGGAACCCCCTGATCCGGGCCCGGACCCGGGAGGTGACGAGCCCGACGATCAAGAAGAGGATCGATTCGGAAGAGGAGGAAAAGGAGAGGGACGACCTCGTCGCCGCCGATCCTCCCTTCTCGGTGACACCGAGGACAACTTCGACTGGGTGGGGCCCGAGGCTCGCCGAAGCTGGGGCCACGAGGGGCTTTTGCTCCACATCCAGAACCTCTTCCGCAAGGGGGTCAAGTGGAGGGATGTTGCTGACAGAGTGTCTGTTCAATCCAGGAGGCGAGCCACCCAGGCGGACCCACCGCGAGGGACGGCCCCAGCGACATCCTCCCGATCTCCGTCTCCGCCCTCGACGAGGAGGGCTTTCTTGAGCCGCGTGCCCGCGGGATGGTCAAGGCCTACTTCATGGCTGCCAATTTCCTCTTTTGCTGTGGGTGGCACCGGCCGATTTGTCTGCCGGCCCCCCCGGCGTTATCTGAAAGAGGACATCCTTGAGGCGGTGGACTTTGACTACGACGGCAAAGAGATCCACCGCATCACCGACATCAACCCAGAGCTGGTGATCGCCGCCTGGCCCAAGGAAGGAGAGGCCGCGGTGTGCCCCGCGACACACTTCATAGAGGGTGACCTTCTCGAAGCCGTCCTCAACCCAAAGAGGCATTGGCGGGAGGCGGCTGAGCAGCCCGCCGTTGCCCGAAAGGGGGCAGTACACGCTACCGACGAGGCCTGGGCCAAGGTGGTGGAGACCGGCTTCAAGCGGGGCATGTTCACGGCTGTGGAAGACTCTGTCGTCCCGCAGGACAGCCCGGGGCACTTCGTCACCAACGGTGCGGGGGCCGTCAAGAAACTCAAGGACGGCCGAGAGGTTCAGAGGTTCATTGCGAACCTCATTCCGGTCAACGAGTTTCTCCTTGACCTCCCTGGCGAGCAGCACCTCCTCCCTTACGTGGCGCAGATGTCTTTATTCTGCCTGGAAGAGGACCAGCTCATAATGGTGGACTCTGAGGATTTGACCTCGGCCTTCAACTTCTTCACCCTCCCCGAGGGCTGGTCCCGATACTTCTCTTTCTCGAAGAAGGTGCCGGGTCGTTGCCTGGGACTGTCTCAGGAATGGGCCCGCCCTGCTCTGCGGGTGGTGCCCTTCCTCCGTTACGCTGGTCCAGGCGATCCTCCGGAACCTCGTCTTCAAGAAGGCTTCTATACCCAGTGCGCTGGAGATCAATAAAGTCAAACCCTTTCCGGGCAGCCACGGCGCCATGCTCTACCTTGACTCCTTTGACGAGATCAGAGTGGTGGACGGCATCCAAGGAGGCCACCTCGACGGCGAAAGAGGAACACTTTCCTTTGCACCCGACAAGGCCCGGAAGCTAGTGAAGGCCTCACTGGCGCTGATCGCCGAGGGGGCCTGGACCGAGCGTATGCTCCGGCGCTGGGTGGGGTTGGCCACCTTCGCCGCGGCCTTTCGCAGGCCGCTCTTCTCAGTCCTGCAGGAAGTGTTCTACCTGATCGAGGAAGCAAAGCACGGTCCGGTGGCCTCCAACAAAGTGGTCATCGATGAGATCGTTGCCTTCATCTGTATGCTCCCAGGAGCCAGAACCGACCTGCGGGCGAGAGTCAGAAGGAGGCTCGTCTGCACAGACGCCTCCCCCTATGGGAGCCACGGTGGCCACCGTCTCAAGACGGCCAGATCCGCCGCCGCCCTCTGACGCCGGGGACGCTGAGTGCGCCAACTGCGGGCAAGGATGGAGGAAAGCCAACGGCTTCATGCCGTACTCCTGCCTGGCCAGGTGTGGAAGGAGCTTGTGCTCCATGGAATGCGTCCAGAACCACCGCAAGAGGGACGCCACCCCTGCTTTCGCTGAGATCTTTGCTGGGCCCACTGCCCGCCTCACCCGTGCGATGGCTGAGGCAAAAGTGGCAGTGAGAATGCCCTACGACCGCTGCGGCGAGGGCAACGAAGACTTCTTCACCCAGGAAGGCAAAGCCCGCCTTGCCGCCGTCGAAGCCGACCCTGAGGTCACTTGTCCCCTGAGGCCAAGTACTTCTCCACGGAAAGAGGAGGACACGCTCAGCTTCGATCAGGGCAGTGGGTCCGCGGCCCCTCTCAGGTCCGCGACCAGAGGAACCTCCTGGGCCTCCCCTGGATCAAAAGCGACCTCAAGTTCGCTGCGAAGGTCCAACCAGACGGCCAGCCGATCCCTGACCAAGCTCGAGGAGACGGCGGACTCTGGCCTCATCGGCTCGCTTATCCTTTTTTTGGGAAAGCTACCTTTGGGAACTGGCTGCGGCCAAGAAGTTGCTGGCGGACCGGAGGTTTTACCTCACCACTTTCAGCATGTGCTGTTTCGGGGGTGATCACGAGCGCTGGCGGGGGCTTCTCCACAACAGCCCCAAGCTCCACGAGCACCTCAACAAGCCTACCTGTCCGGGGCACCGGGGACTCCGCAACGACGAAGCCTGGTACAGTGGCCCCACGCTCTGCTTCCGCTGCGAGGAAGAAGTGGAGTATGCGTGGGCCTTTGCCACGGCATACTCCGAGGCCCTGCTTGCTGAGATGGAGGACCGCTTCCCCATGGTGCCTAGGCGCCTGGAGGACTCCACCCTCAAGTGGCAGCTCTACGCCCAGGTCAGAGGAGCCACCGTGGCTTCCTATCCCTTCCGCCAGGAAGACTCCATCACGACTTTGGAGCTGACGGCCGCTTTCTGTGAGATAAGGCGCATCTCACGCGGCCCGGGCGGACTACTTCCACGTGCTCGACTCCCAGGCCACCTACTATGTGCTCGCCAAAGGCCGCTCCAGCAGCAAGCCTGGACCCTCTCTGGATGGAACAGCGCAGATGCCCCGTCGCGCCGCTTCGATCAAGATCAATAGAAAGCATCTGAGGTTCCAGGGGCTGCACCCTAAATCCTTGCGGGCGTATCAGCGAGCACTAAACACCTTTTTCACCCTGTGCTTCCTCGACCATAGTTTTCGGGGTGGTTGCGAACCACCCGGTTTGGGCCCCGAGCGCCCCTACTTTTCCCCACCTGATGTTGTAGATCATGTAACCACAACTTTATGGAAACCACCCTATTTTGCCCCGACACAGCAATCCACAATATCAATGTCAACCACCCCGTTTTAGCCTACGCCGACATAATGGAAACGACCCCGATTTATCCCGCCAATAAGCGACCTAGATTCTACCCCCAAATTCCCAATATCCCAAACTCTATGTCCCGAAACGCTAAACCTTTTGGGTTTCGGGATTCCGGGACTTTGGGATACACTTCGGGCTTCGAGGGGTGCTGTGAGTTGCTGCACATGACAGGTTCAGCAGTACTTCCCGACTCCAAACCCAAGCCACACCATGTCCCAACTCCAACAATAATTTCAGCCCCAAGGCCCTCTAGTCCCGGCCCGCATGTAATAATTTCCAGAAACAGCCCTGCACTTACAGGTTTCATGTGAGGGTTGAATCCGACTCGCCATGGGTGTGCCCTCGATCTTCGCTGATGTCGGATGGTGCCCCAGGGTCTCGGTTCCTGTGTAATACGACTGTGCACTTTCCTGGACCCAGGTACTTATGGATTGTGGCGGGCTCTCGTGGCGCCGATCCCCGAACTATTGGGCTGGTGCCCGAGAATCTCGACTTTAGAGGTGTAATCATCCTAGCGATTTCTACGGGGAGCGAGGTACGGATCGATGATTTCTGCTGGCGCCGATGGAGGAGATTCCGCTGGTGCCCAAGATTCTGGCAGGGAATTGACTGACAGTACTGATCCTGAGGTACGGTCTGATTGGCTATGAAAAAGGCCTTGCTTTCTCGCAGTGATCCCAGCTACTCGGGCAGGGGTTTCCAAATGAAATCGATGCTAATTTCTGTTGGACTCAAGGTCTGGATATTAAGAATGAGATTGTGGAAAATGAGACGGACTCGGGCGGTTGCCCCGGCCAGTCTTGACTTATTGAGTGCATGTCATGTCTCACTAAAAGCAGCTTCCGGGCGGTTGCTGGTGCTCAAGAGCTTTTTTTTCCGTGCATCAGCACTGCTGGTGCCCTGGTGCTGCGGATGCCGAAGAGCAAGCCTCCGTCGCTTCGGGTGCGGTATTTGCAGGCACAAGGGATCGGGTAGCTGGTTTTTAGGGTGATTGGCCTTATGGGGGGTCCTACCATTTGTCTGTCAGGACCTCTACACCGGCATCCTGGAGGCCAATGACTACCAGGAGAAAAGGGTCACGGAGCTGTGCAAGATGCAGAATGTGCGAACCGAAAAGATGCAACGGCTGCTGAAGCAGGGGAAGGCCCTCTTCCAAACACAAATCCCCAAATCTGTGTAAAGCCTTAGCCCTGTAAATGCTGCCACAAGCCTCTGAAAGGCTCCGGTGGTGTTTTCCTTCGTGAACCTCCGGGGCGGAACCATCGGCCGGGATGAGGTGCTTAGGGTTCTTCGGGTTATGGGCTTTCGGACCTAGAGATCGCCACGAAGATTCCTCACGCCTCAGATGTCGTTTTAAATTTTATATACGGACCATATATTCCCTATTACCCATTATTTCTAAGCCTTAAACCGTAAACCCTGAAAATTTGGGACCCCAAATACCCCCCCCGGTCGTACTCGGTTTAGGATTTCCTGCTTCGGGGGTGGATGCCCAAGCCCTTAACCCCGGCCCAGGTGGAGGATGATTGCAATGCGAAGCTGGTCGCGAGGCTCCTGACGACCCTAGGCTTGAAGATACCCACTTCTATCGAGATGAAAGCGGCCCTTGAGAACGTCGCCGAAGATCGAAAACTTCTGGGAAAGAAGTGTTCGGTTGCAGCCCGGGAGGCAGGAAGTTGTTCACGCCAAGCCGCCAAGCCTGCACATTCGGTGTTTCTCGAGCAGGCTTGGGCGAAAACCGAGGGGGACCTCCACCGGGCCCTGATGTCGCACGTCATGGACCGCAGCCGCCGTAACTTTGATGCCAGGCCGGCCAGGTTCGGTTTTCTTGAGAATCCCTCTCTTTTCGCTCTAGCCCAAAGGAGCGGCAGCAAGAACATGGCCCTTCTCAAGAAGCTGGTGAACACTTTGCAAGAAGAAAAAGATCAGGACACCCAACAAATAATTGAATCCGATTTGTAATATCACCTCGCACTCTGATCACAGGAGAGAAAGATTCCTCTGGAAGACCCAAATCGGCTGCCGACCAGGGAGTGGGGAGACTTCTCCGAAGGCTCAGGCGGGGTGGCGGTTTAAAGGGTTGGGAATTCTCCGACTTTGAGCTCTACAGAACCCTAACCGTGAGACCCCGATTGATCCAGTGTGCAAGTTTGGGATGTTATGGGATCGGTAATAACTTTAAGCCTTGAGCCCACGAGCCCGAGCTATCAGGAACCCAACAAAACTTGCACTTCCTGAGCTCCTGGGTCCGAGAAAATTAAATCCCCGCCACAGGACCCGCTGAGTACTTGGACGACGAGGACATGGCGGACCACGCTCAGGAGGGCGGTGAAGAAGAGGAGATGGATAATGATGCAATCATTCCGGACCCCGACGACCCTACCGGCTTCCCAAAGACCCCTTGCAAGCCCCATGCCCCGCCGGCGCCGGTGGACAGCGACACCGAGGCAGCTGCAGCCGAAGAAGCCTTAGCAGAAGAAGCCGAAAAGAATGCCGATGCCCAGAAGGAGTGCTTCGGGGCGGGTTGTGGGTTTCGGATCGCAGTGCCCTGGCGGGTTTGTGCAGGGTTCCATTCAGGATTCAGGCTTGGTGCTGTCTAGGAATTCGTTGGCTTAGGAGTACATAGTGCTGAAGACTTGTCATGGGCAGGAGCGAAGAGGTATGAAGAGGCCCGCAGCCGCTGTGAGCGAGGGACTCAAGCAATCGGCCGAGAAGCTGCAGAAGCAGGTCTCCCAGGAGGCCAGCGACAAAGGTGGCATCCTGGAGGTGCCCGGGTGTGCTTTGTGGCTTTTGGAGAATTGAGGAGGTACTGGAATTCCGGGATGCAGGGTCCATGCTTTAACACCGTAACCTCCGATCCCAAACTCGAAACCCAGAACCCAACACATATGGAATGGAAGGGTCTTGATGTGGTCCAAAACCTCTTGTAAAACCCCTAATTTCCGTTCCAACAACCGAGCCCTAAAACCTGAAGTAGCGGTTGGGGTTGGCTGGATTGGGTGCAATTGCACATAACTGCAGCCTTTCCTGGCTTCAGGGGTGCACAGGGACCAATCCCTCAGCCATGGCTAGATTTTTACGGTCGAAGTGGGGCGGGGGGCCGCCGCCCCCGCCCCCGCCACCATACCCCCCACGGATGCTTCCCATCCCCCCGCCACCGCCACCTCCGCTGGCACCGCCTCTCCCGCCGCCCCCGGGGCCGCCTCCGCCAAGTCCTCCGAAATCTCTGCCGCCTATGATTGGGCCTTGGCCAATTGCGGCGAGCACAAATGAGCCGAGCTCGGAGGCATTGGCTATAAGCTAGGGGTTGAAGGATTCTGGGGCGTAGGGTGCATGTATCTTTAAACAGTTAATCCCTGCAGGATGATCATGGGCCAAGTCCTTCGAGAGTTGCTTGGCTATGTTAATAGGGGTTCAAGGATTCTGGGGTGTAGGGTGCATGTATCTTTAAACAGTTAATCCCTGCAGGATGATCATGAGCCAAGTCCTTCGAGAGTTGCTTGGCTATTATTAATAGGGGTTGAAGGATTCTGGGGTGTAGGGTGAATGTATCTTTAAAGATATAATCAGTTCCCTGCAGGATGAGCCTGCGGATGACTCCACGAAGAAGCGGCCTTTGGCTTTGAAGGCTGGGGCAATGAAGCTTTCGGGCTTAGTGCATGCTTTAGGGCTGTGAAATACTGAGTCCTTCCAAGGATCTGCCAGTGGACGTGGACTCGAGCTCCGAGGATAAGCCCAAGTCAAAGGCTGGGACATCTTAGTATCCGGGTAGAGTCAAGGGCTTCGTCAGGCTTTAGTTAGGGCTTCAGGGTTTTGGGCTGCATGTACGGGTTTTGCCGTTGGGTGTGTATCCGAGCTAGACCTGCAGGAGCCCTCTGGAAAGAAGCGGCGGCGGCGCCGCTTCATCGGTGTGTACGAGATCGACGTGGCTCGGATCTATTATAATAAGCAGCAGGTTAGCTGTTTCCCAGAAGCCTCCCAGACTACTCCTATCTTAAGGTAAAGGGGGTCTTATGGGAGTACTCTGTAAGGGGGTTCCTTGACCCAGGAAGAGGGGGCCTCGTCGGAAGCTGGGGACAAGGATGTGAAGAAGGACAGGGTCCAAAAAAAGAAAACCACCAAAATCCCTAAATCCTTAAATTATAAAGCCACCCGAACCCCCAAAACCTATGAAACCCTAAACACCGCAACCCCTAGAATCCAGCAAACCCCTAAAGCCTCCCAAAGGCCCAGAAAGCCTACAACTACCAAATTCCCTTTAAACCCCCAACCCAGGAGCCAGCGGATGCCTCGGCGAAACTAGCTGATGAGTCGCGATCCGAGTGAAGCAACAAAAAATCGGTGACAGGGCTCTATAGCAGGTTACGGTTTAGGGTCACAATCCTAGTCCTGGATGTTAGCTCCGTAAACAGTTTCTCTATGGTTTCGGCAATAGAGGCCAGAAAGTTGGAACAGCCTCCTCATGCCATTAAGGTGAAGTGTACGAAATCCCATCACTCACCATCCTAAATGCATGTTCCTACTTTCTATCCTAAACCCTAAACACTAAGCCCTACATAAAGGCTCAAGGGCTCCATACCGAGCTTCATCTGGCCTGAGGCCTTGAGGTCTGGGTGTCGGGGTGACCCAAAGCCCGAAGAACAGGAAACACTCCAACCTCAAAAAGGCTCAACCCCGGGTTCTGGGTTTTGGGCTTGAGTGGGCTTTTGAGGGTTTCTCAACCCCACAATAA